GCGCGAGGCGGGGTCGGCGCGGGGGAGGGCGCGGCGCGCGAGGCCGAGGCGGCGCTGGCGCGCGCGCGCGGCGAGGCGGAGGCCACGCGCCGCGAGGCGGAGGCGGCCGTCGGCGCGGCCCGGGCCGAGGCGCAGGCCAGGGCGACGGAGGCGGCCGACCTCCGGCGCAGGGTGCAGGTGCGTGCTCTTGCGTGTGTATTTTTGGGTGGGAAAGAAGCGCTTGTAGTGCGGAGGGTGGAGGAAAGAGGGCTGTCACTACCTCACCGTGCATGGGAAGAGGCGGCATCTGCTGGGCAATGGGCGTCCGGGATGCCGGGGAGGTCTGGCTCTTGAGGCTGCCCCACAGTTCCTACTCCCTGTATGTGGCAGCACAAGGCAAAGTAGCTTCTGAGCCTTCACGACACATCAACCACCCCGGCTCGAGCTCCACCACCCTTTCAATCCCCAACCTCCAAACCCAGGAGCTGGAGGCGCAGGCGGCCGGCGCCGAGGCGGCGCTGCACGCCGAGCGCTCGCGCTCGGCCGCAGCCGCCGTGGCCGCCTCGCAGGCTCAGGCACATGCCTTTGCCTCGCCCATCCCCCCCTCCCCGCCGCCGGCTGCAGGAGGCGCGGGACGCTTTGCGGGCGCGCGCACCGTGCCCAGTACGCCCAGCGCGGTGGAGGTCAAGAAGATGACCAAGGTGGCGATGCAGCAGTGGCTGACGGACGCGGGGGAGGGCGCCACGGTGTACAGTCTGGGCCTGAAGAATGCCAAGAAGGCGGAATACGAGGCAGCGGTGCTGGACGTGCTGGGCAGCGTATGATCGAGAGGGTGCGAGAAGGCAGGATCATGCCCCTGGGCGGCCATGAATACAGGGAAGATTGGCGATTGTGCAGGGGCAACCTTTGTGTCGCGGGTCTGCACGACAGTGCACGCCTGTAACCTGAGGCCGACCACAGATTTATTCGGGCATTTCGTGACCCTTGTATGGTCGGATGTACGGCTGAAGGGGGTCGGGCTGTGTGTAGAGTATCTAGCACCACGTCCCTGGCCCGTCTTGAACCTCCTCACCCCAAGGTCTCAAAATCTCCAAGAATCGGGGGGACATTTCAAGCCATCTTCCTCGGTGGGGGACTTACAACAGAGACAAATTACAGAGGCGATCGAATCGGCGTGAATGCTCCGATCGATCTCCCAATTTTGCAGCTTTTTCTCGAACATAACCTCCTCGGTCGATAAGATACCGGGGTCCGTGGAAGCGCCTCCTCCGGGGCGGTCCTCGGCCCGACGACGAGCACGCAGGCTGCCGAGCTGTCACGACCCACGAAACGACAGGCGATTGGCAGCACTTCATACGTTTGCAATGATTTGCATGTTGATGCAGGGGCTAAAGGATACCATTCACGGACATGTGCCTACCTTACTATCCGTTGGGTCTCGTATCGTGGTTTCTTTTTCAAGCCGGCGACCCGAAGATCTGCCCTAGGGGATCTGTGGAGCCGCTGGAGCCGCTGCCCAGCGGAAGATATCACTTGTGGGGTAGGTCAAATGGCTGCATACATCCTCGGAACCCCCTTCATCACACTTGTGTGAGATATAATATTGATTCAACAGTTCTTGACGACAAGACACAATCATGGTCTGCGACAGATTCAAGACACCCGCAGGGGTCGATACCCATCCCGAAGGCATCCCTAACCTCAAGAAAGGTACACCATGCGCTATCGTGTTCCATTTTGTTCGCTCCAATACCATGCTTCGAGCCGGGACGGTGCTGTCGGCGGTACAGGATGTCGAACGCTTCGTCCTTCGGCTTCTCGCGTAATGGAGTTTTTGGCCCCCTCCCCTCGCCACAGGCACCCTTTTCACGGCCGCCATCCACATCTTCTGTGGAATCGTCGGTGAGAGCACAGTGCATGTGATACGCAGGATTGCATTCTGGTACGCATCGCTGTTATAAATCCAGAGGCGCTGCCTTGCCGCAGGTGCCGGCGTACTCGCACTCCCCCGCTCCCTCGGATGGCTGGGTTGGGTTGCAGGTCCCATCCTCATCATAGTCTTTTACCTTGTCTCTCTACTTTCCAGCTGGTGAGTTATGTTTCGGAGTGTGGGCTGGACTCGGCCCGTGTGTCGAGGCCCGCTGTCGAATCCGGAGCAGTGTAGGTCATTGATGGGGCCGCGGGGTGGGCAAGGGTTTCAACGACGCACCACCACCTGGGACCAACCTCCTTCCCCTCACTCCTGGCTCCTCTTCACCAGGCTCTTGGCCGACTGTTACGAAGTCGAGGGTGTAGAGAATGGACGTTACCATGACATCGTCAAGCACATCATGGTGAGCTGTCGGTGCTTTCATGGGAAAACAGGGAACTTCTCTATGTTCAGGGAAACACCACATGTGGCTAGACATGAGCGTCCATGCGTTGCATGACCTGCACTGAGATGGTGTCTCTGTCTATTCTGGCGTTACCCAATGGGACTGCCACCCATTCTTCAATGCATCTTTGCTTCATGATTGTGCAGGGGATTAGGTACGCTTACGGCGTGTCTGTCTTCCAGATGCTCAACATCGTGCTGATCGACATCGCTTACACCATCACCGCTGCCAAGGCCATGGTCACCCTGGCAAACACCGCCTGTGGCTGGCAGGGCATTGACTCTGGCGACTGCTTCAACACGGTGAGGATGCGCCACATGTGCTGGCATCTCGTCGGCTGTGCCTGACTGGTTGCTGCATGCATTGTATTGCAGCTCCTTGACACCAGCTGCATATCAGCGCATATATGTCTCTGGTGTTTGTCGGGGCTGTCTCCCCTGCCCAAACTTCTCCCAATCACCTCACACTCATGTAGTCCTGGATCATGACTGTCATCTTTGGGGCTGTCCAGATCGTATCCTCCCTCGTCCCCAACCTCGAGTCGGCCTGGTGGGTGTCCTTCATTGGCGTCATCACCTCCCTCTTCTACTCCTCCGTCGCGCTTGCTCTGGGCCTGAAGTCTGGTGAGGGGGATGCCTGAAGAAGGCTGTGGCTGTGATTGGGTCGTCACTTTGTGCATGATGACTCTGCCAGCGCATCATATGAAATCTGCATACGGGGATCTTACGACTTCTCCTCCACCTCTCCCCTCCTGGCAGCCTCCAACCGCCTCGGCACCGTTGGTGGTATCCCTGCCAACCATGTGAACAAGGCCTTTGAGATCCTGAATGCCCTGGGCGCCATCGGCTTTGCCTACTCCTTTTCCAGTATCCTGGTGGAGATTCAGGACACCCTGCGCCAGGCAAGCATCTATGGCTGGGTGTCCCCAAGCGCGGGGATGCGCAATGGGCTCTAATGCCGCATTAGTCATGCCCAAGACAGCGACCCTCTGAGCCCCCTGCCCTGCCCACCCTCTCTTTGTGCAGCCGCCCAAGGCAGCAAAGACCATGAGCAAGGCCACCAACGTCGCGGTCACTGCCTCTTTTGCGTGAGTCAAGGGGAGTGGAGAGGGAAAATCGCTGTCCTGGGCTTGCCACCTTAGAGTATGGCGAATTTTTCTCTTCAATCAAGGATCTCGTGCCCCGTGCTGGTGCAGCCTCGGTCTGGATGTGTGTGTTTATGCAAGCAGTGAACTCTTTGCGACCCTGAGGATGCGAGGACGCTCCCCTTCCTCCCTGCAGATTCTACTTTGTCGTAGCCATTGGCGGGTACGCCAGTCTTGGCAATGGTAGGTTTCCAGAACGTCTGGCTGGGTTGCTGAGGGTTCAGTTTGTGGCAGCCATTCACCATGCAGCACAAGCAAGCCCCAGGGCCTCTTTTGCACAGAGTGTCTGTCACCTCTGCCCACAACTCCACAGATGTTCCCTCCTACATTCTTGGTGGCCTCCAGGGTCCCGAATGGGTTATCTTCGTGGCCAACCTCTGTGAGTCTGCATACCTGTGGGCTGTTGCATGCTGCAGGATGAGGGGAGAGGGCGGGTGGGTCAGTCGTTCAGAAGAATAGCTTCTGCAGATTCTCCGAAAACGCTGCCACCCATCCACCCTCCACTTCCGCTCCTTGCCCTTTGACCTACCCCCCCCCCTCCCTCCGGCCCCCCGCCCCCACAGGCGTCCTGCTGCACATGTGGTCTGCCTACCAAATCTATGCCCACCCCATGTTTGACACCCTGGAGTCCCACGTCAAGGCCTTCAAGTGAGTGCCTGGCTGCAGGGCTGTGTGAAGACCTTGCAAGCTGTCTAGTTTTGACCAGGAGATCCTTATTCCACCCCCCTGCCACGTCCCCACCCATCGCCAGGCTCCGCCAGGCCAAGGCCAAGGGGGACGCCGAGCTCCCCGCTAAGGTGGAGGAGCTCAAGCGCATGTCGCTGGCGGCCAGACAGGGTTCCGCTGCTGGGACCAAGACCATGGACGCCACAGCCCCCGCCGCCCCGCCCGCCGCCACCCCCCTCCGCCGCCTGTCCCGTGTGTCGGCCATGGCGGGCGAGAAGTTGCAGCGCCTGTCCCAGAACGCGGCCATGTACCGCGTCAGCACCGGCTTCGCAGACACCTCGGTGCCCAGCAACGACGACCACTTTGTCCTGCCCTGGTGGCAGCGCCTGATCACGCGCGGCATCTACGTCGTGCTGACCACGCTCATCGCCGCCATCATGCCCTTCTTCGGGGCCATGGCTGGACTGGTGGGCGCGCTGGCCTTCTTCCCCCTCACCGTCTTCTTCCCCTTCCGCTGCTGGTGAGGGGGCTGGCCCATTGTTGCCAGGCAAAGGGAGTGTGGGGGGGTCATGGCATGGGATGGTGTGTACGCGCGCGTGTTGAGACAGGATGACCAGTTGACTTACCCTGTGCTGATCAATTCTCACTTTCCAGGTCTGTGCATGTTGATTGGATGCTGCCATGCCCTGGAAATCCATCACATGCCTGCCTTTCACGTTTCTTGGCCCCCTGCTGCGCCCACACACCTCTCTCCTCACCCCACCCACCGACAGGCGCACCGTGTACAAGCCCACTGGGTGGTTCAATTACATGCTGTACGTCATCGAGTTCGGCATGGCGCTGGTGTGCGTAGCTGCCACCATCGCCTCCTTCCGCAACATCATTGTCTCCTGGTCTACCTGTGAGTGGCTGGGGGGGGTGAGAGGGGTGTTTGGGCGCTTGAAGCTGCAACAAGGGAGGCTGCATGAGCGACCGTGTTCCACAGCCAGGGTGTCACCGGGTGGCCGTGCAGGGACCCATAGAATTGGTGCTGAAGCAGCGTCATGCTGCAATGCGTGGGGCGATGGTCGGCATGCAGCCATGCTGATTCCATGCATCGATGGCTCCTCTCTAGCATGCTGAAGTCTGCATCCCTCTTCTCAAAGCGTTTCATGGGCTCCTCCACATCCACCTCATGCAGTCAAAATCTTCGAGGGCGCCGGCACTCTGTAAGATCCTTCAGCTCAGGCGGAAGGACGCCGCCTGGTCATCCGGAAAACGACCCAAACCCAAGGGATGAAGCATCTCGCTTTACCATTTCCACGCCTTGTTAAACTTCAACGGCACTCTTTGATAAGTACACCCAAAATTTCTTCCTCGATGGACGTCAACTCTTCCCTCTGCCATGTTCTGTTTGCCACGTCGCATCATTCCCAAGACCGACCTGCATGAAGTGGTGCATACACACAGCACGCTGAGCCCAAATAAAAAGCCTTACCGAATCCCCTTTAGATAGATCTTCTCGGTGAGACGCATGGGCATACGAGCTGAGTGCTTCACAAACAAAGTAGCGATGCGGCTGCGGCTGAAGAGTTGGGGGGGGGGGGAGGGCGTGGTGGGGTGCAACCTGGGCCTGAAGAACGTCAAGATGACGGAGCACGAGCCTGCGGCGTTGGGGAGCGCATACCTGTGGGTGCGCGACGGGGAGCGATCGTGCCACCAGGCGCGACGGGGAGCGATCGTGCCACCAGGCGCGACGGGGAGCGATCGTGCCACCAGGCTGCTGTGGATGCAACGAGGATGGGTGGTGGTATATTGCGCATGCTCAAAATGGATTGTGAGTATGTCTGCAGGGTCATGCTTCGAACCAGAGATTGTCTCTCATGGGATTCCAGCCACATTTCCATCTAAATATACTGTGAATGGCATTCAAGAAGGGTTCAGGCGGTCTCCACCTGTCAGTAGTACGTCCTTGTCCCTCATGTCCTGGATCTGCGTCGGACATTGCATCGTGCTACCCCGAGATCCCTGGATGTCCCACGGCGAGATCCCGAAACTCACACACCCCGCAGGCCGTTTCAGAGAAGAAAAACAACCCCAAATGAGAAACCGGTATCATAATCAATATCCAGTCACAGTCCGCATCTTTTCCGCGATAACCAACTCCTCTATCCTCGAGGCACAGGGGTCGGTCGGAATGCCTCTTCCCCGGCGGTCGGTCGGCCCGACAGGCACCCAGACTGCCGACCAGTCAAGGGAATGGAGGCGGATAGAGACTGTCCTCGTACTCGGTTATTTTTAGGTGTCGAAGACTTTTGCAGGGGTGAAAGATACGGATACTGGACTGGAAACTCGTGTGTCCTCCCTTGGGTCTGGTATCGCGGTTTCTATTCTCCAGGTGGCTGACTCAAGACCGCAAGATATGTCTGATTTGAGAAGCCGCTGCTCCCAGGGAAGCTATGTCACACGACTGCAAACAATCACGAACTCCCTTGGTCGGGCCTGTGGCATACACAGCATCGAATATAAAGTCGTGGAGAGCAAGAGATAACCATGGTCTGCGATAGGTTCAAGTCGCCTACATGGTTGGATACCCACCCCGAAGGCATGCCGAACCTTAAAAAAAGGATAACTTCCGCTGCCGTGCTCGTTATTGCTCGCTTCAACACGGTGTGCGTAGCCGGCAGGTCGCCGTCCGGGGGACAGAACGTCGATAGCTTTCTTCTGCGGCTTCTCGTGGAGCACAGGTTGTGTCCCCTCCCCTCGCCACAGGCACCCTCTTCACGGCCGCCATACACATCTTCTGCGGTATCATCGGTGAGTGCAGTGCAATGGATATGGGAGTGGTGTCATATGTCACTCACCGCATTCCCAGCCTACCCGAATGTCAACCAACAGGCTGCTCGCCGACTGTTACGAGGTGGATGGCGTGGAGAACGGGCGGTATCATGACATCGTCAATCACATCATGGTGAGCCACCGTCCGCTTGCCTGTCGATGTGGGGACCGACCGCTCATGACATCTCGCACAGTGCTGCCCAGACAGAGTATTCCCTCCTGCAGTGTCCTCCTGGTCCTGGACACCGACTGATCCCCCCTTCCTTGCGATTCCCTGCCAGGGCAAGAAGTGGGCCTATGGGGTCTCCACCTTCCAGCTGCTCAACATCGTGCTGATTGACATTGCCTACACCATCACTGCCGGCAAGGCCATGGTCACCCTGGCAAACACGGCATGTGGCTGGCAGGGGATTGACGCCGACGCCTGCTTTGACAAGGCAAGTCTGACAGGACTCGTCGGCGGCTCTGTCACCGTGTCTTGCTGACTGCAGGCCGCCTTGGACCGAAGTGCCTTGCCGTCGACTGCACGTTGCCGCACGCTCCGGTGCAGCATCTGACTGGCCCCATCCCCTGCCCGTGACCATCCCAAAATCCCTGACCCCCATGCAGTCGTGGGCCATGACCGTCATCTTTGGAGGTGTGCAGATCGTGTCCTCCCAGGTGCCCAACCTGGAGTCGGCGTGGTGGGTGTCTGCCATCGGCACCCTGACCTCCCTCTTCTACGCGTCGGTGGCGCTGGTCCTGGGCCTGAAGAACGCGCATAACCGGCTGGGCTCCGTGGCCGGCATCCCCGCCACCCCCGTCAACAAGGCCTTCTCCGTGATGAGCTCCCTGGGCGCCATCGGGTTTGCCTACACCTTCTCCACCATCCTGGTCGAGATTCAAGACACCCTCAAGCAGCCGCCCAAGGCCTCCAAGACTATGGGCAAGGCCATCTCCATCTCCGTCACCGGCGCCGTCGTCTTCTACTTCTTGGTGGCCGTCGGCGGCTACGCCAGCTTGGGCGACGCCGTGCCGGCCTACATCCTGGGGGGCCTGGTCGGTCCCGAGTGGGTCATCTTCGCCGCCAACTTTGCCGTCCTGGGGCACATGTGGTCCGCCTACCAGATCTTCGCCCACCCCATGTTCGACACCCTGGAGTCTCACGTCAAGGCCTTCCAGTGAGTATCGGTGGGGTTGGGTGGGGAACGGCCCCTGCTCTCGGCAGCGTGCATGGGGCCTGTGGGTGGGGTCTCCTGTCCCCAGCCAGCATGTGCCCGCCTTCACCCCCTCAACACCCCCGCCCCGCCTCGGTCCTGCAGCCTGCGCCGTGCCAAGGCCCACGGCGACACCGAGCTCCCGGCCCGCATGGAGGAGCTGAAGCGGGCCTCCATGGCCGCCAAGACCGCCCCCCTCGATGCCAAGGCCGCCGACCTTGACGCCAAGGCACCCAGCGCCGCCCCCGCCGGCGGCGAGCCCCAGCTGCGCCGCCTGTCCCGTGTTTCCGCCATGTCCACGGCCGCCTCCCAGGGGCTGCAGCGCCTGTCCCAGAGCGCCGCCATGTACCGCGTCAGCACCGGATTTGTCAACGAGACCGTGCCCTCCAACGAGGAGCACTTCCTGCTCCCCATCTGGCAACGCATCCTCACGCGCACCTTCTACGTCTGCTTCACCACCATCATCGCCGTGGTCATGCCCTTCTTTGGCTCCATGGCGGGGCTGGTGGGAGCGCTAGCCTTCTTCCCCCTGACCATCTTCTTCCCCATTGAGTGCTGGTGAGTAGAGAGGAAGGGTGGCGAGGGAACGGGGTGTGGTCAGGGGGCATGGCCTCCCAACAGCTTGCCTCCAAGCCACGAGGAGGGACCGCTGGGTATGGAATCCAGGGCCGATCCAGGGCCCTGTGTGCTCGGGCTGTGTGGAAGAGCCCGCCAACAATGCAGTGTTGCCCGCGTCAAGGTGCTGTGGGAGCCTGTCTCCTCGACCCCTCCCACCGAGCCAGGCCCTGACGCCCCCTTCCCCTTGTATCCCCAGGCGCAAGGTGTACAAGCCGCGTGGCTTCTTCAACGGCCTGCTGTACTCCATCGAGGCCTTCATGTTTGTCGTCTGCATCCTGTCCACCGTGTCCTCCATGCGCAACATCATCAACTCCTGGAGCACATTCAAGATCTTTGGCGCCACCGTCGGCCTGCACTGAACACCCAGAAACCCGACGGGTTCCACCCCCCCCCAACCCCAACTCCGGAAGAACGACACTCCCAGGGCCACCCCCTCTCCCCCCCTGCCCCGCGGCTGTGGAGCCATGCCTGCCCAAGCAACACTGCTCTGTTGAACCAGCACTGCCTATCCCCCTCATTGCCCATGCCGCACAAGGCCGTTCACTTCCCGGCAGCCTGCAAGAAACACCCATGGCGGCCACAAAACCTTGGACGAGGAGGCGCCAGCTCCACTTGTTTGGGAGCGGCCTTGGTGTGGCCGGCGGACCCCATGAAGGCATCACCTGCACCTGTCTGCCAGCTGGAGCTATGATTCCCTACCGCTGGTGTCTCTATCCTCCTTGCACCAACCCAACGTTTTTCCCCAAGATTCTACCATTCATGCCTGGAAATCATTTTTCCTTGCCCTGTTCCCTGTAGCCAAGTCTGGCGACAGTCGGTCTCCATGTGACTGGCAAGGCTCTGCCCTGGCGCCCCTGCGTTTAGACACCCCTTGGGTTGCCTGCCTTGAAAATGAGCAACTCAGAGGAGGTCTTAGTGCGTACCAGAGTACCACCAAGTATCGACAGGCGGACACTAAGATTGATGGGTGACCCAACAGCTACCAATGTGGGCCCACTTGTGTTGGTGCCGACGAGACACCAGCCATGGAGCACTTCACAGGCCTACGTGGTGATGCCAGTGCCTGCGTCCTCTCCATAATACGTGCTCGATGTAATCAGAAAAAGGGGACTGGCCTCACATCGTTACAACGTCGGTCTTTGCAACGATTTCACAGCGGGAGCGCCCCGGATAAACCCTAAAGAAACATGTTGAATACGGCGGGAAACCGGAACCTGGCACGAAACTGGACCACTAAAGGGTTAGCTGCCTCTCTAGGATGGTCATGCGGTACGCTGGATCTTCGCAGGAGTATTTCGAGGTGTTCCACAATCCACGGGGGTCCGGAGACACTGAGCGACGGCACTGAGCGACGATTGGCTGCAGTGCATAGTAAGGACGAGCTATGGGCCTATTGAAGTACCCTTGGGTCTGAATACCCGAGGCGTGGGCAGCTTCATGACCAAATTATACACCTGTTGGGAACTGAAGATCGGTGTTCCGGTATCGCGCGGAAAGGCAAACCCCGTCTGACTCCATTGGCAGACACCATCACGGGAGATTTGCCAATTGCGCAGGACCACGAGTAGATCTTCGAACATTGCACAGCTTGCAGCTTCCCAAACGCCCCTCGCTGAGTGTTTATCATGCAAGTGGAACGCAACATTTGATTGTAGAGTCCAACTTTCTCCATACCCTAGCCAGGACTGGCTAGGGCATTGGGGCGCGCACCCGGAGCAGTAGGTGCCGCGGGAAGCGAACCTATCCTTAAGGGGCCGCGCGTTCCGAGACCCGATAAATTGCTACAACCCTGGTCCCGATATCAGAACTTCACTTTTCTACGGCGGTTTCTGGTGAATAATTGTCTTGCAAAGGCTCACGGGCCTGGCTCAGTATGTTTGAGAACCAACGCACCGCCGCTTTGGTGGACGCCAACCCCAATGGCATCCCCAACTTAAAGAAGGGTAAGGCGTTACAAGATATACCCACTCAAAGTCACACACATTATAGGGTCGTTCAGGACACTGTTTGCCAGTGCGGTGCTGCTGGACGCATGGGGCCCGGGTACTTCGTGCCGTAAAAACAGCGGAGATTACCCGTTCCCATCGCGCACCCCTCTGCGCAGGCACGCTCTTCACAGGATCCATCCACATCTTCTGCGGTATCGTCGGTGAGTGAGCGTCGCCCCTCGCATGTCTCGTTCCGGTTGTTGTCACCGCACCAGGCCCAGGAGGCTCATCTGGTCCACCCCGGTCGCGCAGGTGCCGGTGTGCTCGCCCTCCCCCAGTCCCTGGGCTGGCTGGGATGGGTCGCGGGTCCCCTACTGCTCATCACGTTCTACATCACGTCTCTCATCTCCTCATGGTGCGTTTCGGAGTGGGTCGGGGCGTCCCTAGGGTTGTCCGACGGTGACGGGGGCACGCGGGCCCGCGGCCTGTCCCCGCCTGTTCGGGGGTCTCTCGCAATCACACCCACCTCGCCCACGCTTGCCACCAGGCTGCTCGCCGACTGCTACGAGGTAGATGGCGTGGAGAACGGGCGTTATCATGACATCGTGAAGCACATCCTGGTGAGCAGGACCCACCTCACCGATCCTCGTGGGGATGTGGCCGGGCACCATGCATAAGGACCCAGGGACCTTTATATACCTCTTTCCCCCACGCGCTCAAACCTGCAGGGCCTGAAGTGGGCGTATGTGGTGTCCACTTTCCAGCTGGTGAACATCTTCCTGATCGACATCGCCTACACGATTACCGCCGGCAAGGCCATGTCCACTCTGGCCCTGACTGCGTGCGGCTGGCAGGGCATCGCCGAGGGCGACTGCTTTGACACAGTGCGTCTGGCCTGGAACGATGGGGTGCCTGAAGGCATCGTCGGGACCCCGGGAAGCAGCAGGGTAGTTTTGCGTGAATGGCCTCAGAACATTGCGCGCCCCCTTGGCCACTCATGGAAGTGCTAAGACCCTGGCTCACCGCATCCACTCACCCTCCCCTCCTCTTCTGCAGACCTGGGCCATGACCGTCATCTTTGGAGGTGTGCAGATCGTTTCCTCCCAGGTGCCCAACCTGGAGTCGGCCTGGTGGGTGTCCTTCATCGGCGTGCTCACCTCCCTCTTCTACGCCTCGGTGGCACTGGTCCTGGGCATGATCCACGGTGAGGCCCCTGGGGCCGCATGGGCGACACGGATCTGGTTGGTGGGGGCTTGGGTGATGTCTGTATCCCTCGAGCACAAGTCATCATGGGGAGAACGGCCTGACTCCAGCAGCTCCAAGACACGAGAAGATCTGCTGGGCTGTCCTTGCACAATGTCTCTAGATTGCACTCCGTGACCATCTTCCCTCCCCATCCAAATTTGCGTAGCCAAGAACCACCTCGGGTCTGTGGGTGGTCTGTCGGCCAGCCCCATCAACAAGGCGTTCAACGTGATGGGCTCCTTGGGTGCAATTGGGTTTGCCTACTCCTTCTCCACCATCCTGGTCGAGATTCAAGACACCCTCAAGCAGCCGCCCAAGGCCTCCAAGACCATGAGCAATGCCATCACCATCTCCGTCACCGGCTCCTTCCTCTTCTACTTCCTGGTGGCCATTGGCGGCTACGCCAGCTTGGGCGAGGGTGAGCAAAGGAATACGGTGCATGGTTCAGCGTGGGGGGCCTGGGATGCTCCCCCAAATCGCACCAGCGACGTCCTGCCGTGCAGAGTTCTGAGTTACGATGGCCTGGTCTGCATCCTACCCCCCACCCCACCCCACCCCCCCCCGCCCCCGCAGACGTGCCTGGGTACATCCTTGCTGGTCTCCCGGGTCCTCAGTGGGTCATTTTTGTCTCCAACCTCTGTGAGTTTCACAGGGTGTGCTCCTTGGGATCCTGTGCCGGCCCAAGTGGGCGAGATGAAGAATCTGTTGCGGTCTTGTACCACCCGCTGCGAAGCACCTCTGCGTCCCTGTTCATCCCTCTTGTTCGCCCTGGCTTGTGCGTCATCTCACATCGCCGGTTCCCTCTGCAGGCGTCCTGCTGCACATGTGGTCCGCCTACCAGATCTTTGCCCACCCCATGTTCGACACCCTGGAGTCACATGTCAAGGCCTTCATGTGAGCCTGTCTGCATGGGGGGGGGGGGTGGTTCTCATGCAGTCGCCTGGTTTTGGGTGTGCGTTTCTGCAAAGCTCGAATGCCACACTAGGGCTGCCCCTCTCGCATCCGCTCATCAGACATTCCCCGACCACCTCCACAGGCTGCGCCGTGCCAAGGCCCGCGGCGACACCGAGCTCCCCGCCCGCGTGGAGGAGCTGAAGCGCGCCTCCATGGCCGCCAAGACCAACACCGCTGATGCCAAGGCCACGCCAATGGACGCCAAGCCCCCGGGGGCCGGCGCCGAGGGCCAGCCGCAGCTGCGTCGCCTGTCCCGTGTTTCCGCCATGTCCACGGCCGCCTCCCAGGGGCTGCAGCGCCTGTCCCAGAACGCCGCCATGTACCGCGTCAGCACCGGATTCGTCAACGAGACCGTGCCCTCCAACGAGGAGCACTTCCTGCTCCCCATCTGGCAGCGCGTCATCATTCGCTCCTGCTACGTTGTGGTCACCACCATCATCGCCGTGGTCATGCCCTTCTTCGGCCAGATGGCCGGGCTGGTGGGCGCGCTGGCCTTCTTCCCCCTGACCATCTTCTTCCCCATCGAGTGCTGGTGAGCGGGCTGCGGCCAGGTGGGGGCAGTATCTTTCCTTTCCTTGTCAAGGGTCTTCATATGAGGTGTAAAGCGCCGTGACCTACCTGCGAACGTCGCCCGACCATCGCCTGCACAAGTCGCCCACAAAATAAACACCCCCTTTTTCGCCAGGCGCCGCGTGTACAAGCCCAAGGGCTGGTTCAACATCATGCTGGCCAGCATAGAGGTTTTCATGGGCCTGGTGTCCATCGCTGCCACCATCGCCTCCGTGCGCAACATCATCAACTCCTGGGGCTCATGTCAGTGGGGGAAAGGGGGGAAGTCGGGGAAGGCATGGGAGAGGGGGGGGGGGGGGTTGGTTTACGGCCGATGTATCCCCAGCACAATGTGGCTCTGTTTCATGAGCTGCAGGTGTGATGCGCTCTTCACACTTGCCTGTCCTTTGCACTCGTCCTCAGGCTCCATCGCTCATCCTGCCCCCTCCCCACCCAAACACTGCAGTCAAGATTTTCGGTTCCACCGGCGGAATCCACTGAACCCAACTCACATCAAACTTAACCCTGCTTGCGCACACGCCCCCCACTGGCCCTGTACACCCTCCCGCTCTGCCTGCCCCCTGCGCCTGGCTGCGTCTGGACTTGGTAGAGCTGCGGCCGCGCGGGGATCTCGCAATGATCCTGGGGGCCCCCCGACCCCAAACACTTGAAGCTGCCCATGAAGCTGCCTGACGGCCCCCAGTGCCTGGTGCCTGGCACCCGGTGAGCGCCCACCAAGAAGCCAAAGCTCGAACGTGTGGTCCTACGATGTGAAGCGTTTGCTGCCAATTTTCTGGCGATTGTGATGTAGAGATACCTTGCTGATGTCAAGAATCAGGGAAGGGCAGTTCAAAGCAAGCGAATTGCTCCTTGATCCAGCTGGACGGTTGGCGCCACAGTCCAGAACATGTGTGGGAGCTGGCCTGGCTGGAGGGGGAAATTGAACTGTAGATGGGGCGCAATGGATCCAAGACCCGGCATGCAGCCTTGTGTTGTCAGCTTACCACGCACCGCATTCGTCTTGTTGAACCTTCTACAGCGGCCTGCATCTGAGTCCAAGGTATTATCAGACATCACGTGCACCAATGCTGCATCCTCAGATGCAGCATTGGTGGTGAAAGGGTGGAAATGAGGAGCACTGCGGTTGCATAATGGCGGCTGATGAGCTTGCCGTGCATACCCTTACGGTAATCCACCCTCAGAAAGAGCATGATGACCCGGCAAGACGGTGGGAAGTCAACTTGGATGTGTTGGCAATTATTAACCATAAAACAGGCTCCAAAGCCGTGGCGGGTCATCTTCAATACTGGCAACCCCTGCAGGGGTTGTCCTTGCTGAGCTTCATGCCATCATGTTTGCAGTGATACAATGTCGCAACCCAGAGTCTGATGCGCTGTCATGTGGTGTCCAGGCTCATCCCCCTTTGGTGATTACTCCTGAGCTTGTGTGTTTTCGGATAATTGAAGAGGTAGTGCCTTCTGACAGAGTGCTGATCCATTGAGACATAGTCAGGAGCAAGTTTGGAAAGCACCGTGGGATGCCCAGTGCAGCAGCCCGGCCGACGCCAGTTCTGTGGGATTTCTGAGGGCTTCCCTTGCATGGGCATTCATCAGCTAGAAAGAAGGTGGCGCGCATCGTCGTGAGCGCAAACCGGGCTACTACGCTTCTGTATCGCGACATCATCGGACTCTCGCAATCCCTGGAGAGCGTCGTGCATGTGGGGGATCTTCCCTGCACACGAAATATGTATGATCGCTGTGACTGAGGTCGCCTGTGCTGGGCCGGCGGTCAAGTGATCGAAGCCCGCCGCGCCTGGAGCGGGCTGCCATGGGGATGGACATCGTGCAACAACTGCCTCAGCTGGAGGCGCTTTGCTTGCAACTTTACACAGCACAGGTAATTGCTCGATGAGGTCGGTGGGTCCTGCAGGGCAAGGGCCTGAGGGGAGTGCTGCTCACCTGCCCATCGGCCATCACCACTTCCCCTCACATCGCAGAACCCTCAGGACCGATTGCACGCTGAGCAATCGCTCCGCGTCTTCACCACCTCTACAGACTATGTTCCCCACTGCAAGGCGAGTCCTGCCTGTGTAGATGGGCAGAACATGCCTTGGTTTCCATTAGAGCCTGACGAAGGGTTTGAGGGCGGTGGGAAGCGTGCATGGCTTGGACGTAGACCTTGTCGCATGCATGCAATATCGCAGGGACCTACGCTGCACACCTGTTCACCTGCATAGCGAGCCAGCCTCGGCCCAGGCATGCACGCGAGTAAACTCGACTCATCCTCCCACCCCGATGCGACAGACCATCCTGGACGTCTCCAGCTCCCCATATGCCCAACTGCTGGCAGCGAGCAGCCTGCTCAAGGTCGTCACTGAATTCACGCTCTCGTGAGTCTGGGTGCCGGTGCCACGGGGCGAGGCGGGGGAGGGTCGGGACCCTGCATGGGCAGCCTGCTTCCTCAAACCACGAAATGTGCGGCTGGTGCATTTTGCCGTGCACCCCTGCCCCGCATGCATGCCACGAAAAGGGCAGCGCTCCGCCCACCCTCCCACGCACCGCCTGCCGGCTCCCGCCCCCACACCTCGCAGGAATCAGGTGAAGCTGGACATGCGGACCTATTTCCTGCAGTACCTGAACGGGCGGGGCCCGACCCTGGAGCCCTATGTGGTGGCGGTCCTGGTCCAGCTCATTTGCCGCATGACAAAGCTGGGCTGGTTCGAGGACAGCGCATACCGCAGCATCGTGGAGGACGCCGGCGCCTTCCTGGAGCCGCGCTCCAATGTAAGCCGGGGGTTGTGCAGGAGGGGGTCGTCATTGGGACTGGCAGTTCTTGTAGTGGGGCAAAAGGGGTGCCAGAAGCAGTCCCTGCACTGACCCTGAGCTCTACGCTGGCATGCGGGGAGTGAAGCCAGCTCTACCTCCTGGCTTCCCATTCCCGGCTCCCATGATGCTGTCGCTCCATGCCCCCACACCCATTCACCACCTGCACCCTGCTTCCTCACGCAGGACGGCTCACTCGCCCACTACATGCTGGGCCTGCGCCTGCTCAACGCCATGGTGCTGGAGGCCAACAGCCCCACGCCCCACCGCACGCTGACTCAGCACCGAAAGGTGGCAGTCGGCTTCCGGGACGCCGCGCTGTACAAGGTGAGGCTACGGCAGGCGATGCGAACGAGGGGGTGGTGGTGAGGGATTGAAGTCGGTGTGCCAGTCCCTGTGCACAGGTTGCAGGCATCTCTTTGGCAAGCGGGTGCCGGCACGATCGATCCGGCCACGCATGCACCGCGCCCAGCAGCCCTTCCAGGTTGCGCCTGTTGTTGGTGGACTATCTTCCAAGATAACGTGCCAGGGGGGCGACCCTTTCCACCATCCATGCCCCTGGTTGCACCCCCCCTCCCCTTCGCCCCTCTTCCCTGCAACAGATCCTGCAGCTGGCGCTGGGCGCGCTGCAACGGCTGCCCGGCATGCGTGCCGACAACGCGCTGCTGGAGCAGGCGCTGCGACTGCTGGTGGCCACGCTGTCCTTCGACTTTGTGGGCACCTGCCTGGATGAGTCGGCGGAGGACCTGGGCACCATCCAGATCCCCACCGCCTGGCGCCCGGCCGTCGAGGACGCGGGCACGCTGCAGCTGCTCTGGGGCTACTACGCGGGCAACGAGCCGCCACTGAGCAGCCTGGCGCTGGAGAGCCTGGTGAGCGGCGGCATGGGGGGCAACGGGGAGGGGGGATTTGGGGGAGAGAACGCCCCCAGACCATGCTTTACAGGCAGCAACCTCTTCCCCCGGGGCCGCGTCGCCCACAATTACCCGTAGAACCTCCTTGGCTTTTTCAGAATTTGCCTCCTTCACCCCTGCCTCACCCAACATAACCCCCCAAGGTGCGCCTGGCCTCGGTGCGGCGCTCCCTGTTCTCCAGCGACGCGGTGCGCTCCGCTTTCCTCGCGCGCCTGGTGGAGGGCTCGCGCGACGTGCTGCGGGACAGGCGCGGGCTGCACCACCATGCCAACTACCACGAGTTCTGCCGCCTGCTGGGGCGGCTGAAGACCAACTACCAGCTGGGCGAGCTGGTGGCCCTGGCGCCCTACCCCGAGTGGATTGGACTGGTGGCCGACTTCACCATCAACAGCCTCACCTCCTGGCAGTGGGCCTCGGGGTCGGTGTTCTACCTCCTCGGGCTCTGGTGAGCGGAGGACAGGAGGGTTGGGGGGGGGGGATAAGTCAGAATGGGGAAGGAGAGGGGGGCGCGGGGAGGGAAGACAGGGCCTGGAGCCAGGTTCTCGTGAGGGGCCCTTTCACTGGATTGCATGGCGAGATCCCTGTAGACCTGGGTCAGGGCGCAACAAGCCGGCCATGGCTGGATGGGTTCTGGCGGGCACTGACTGCCTTACCCATACACGTGCTGGGATGGGAGGACATGTGCATCAGTGACGCAACGATGTTTCTATGCCGATCATCCCTCCCATTCCTCACACTTCCTCTCAGGTCGCGGCTGGTGAGCAGCATGCCATACCTCAAGGGCGAGGCGCCGTCCCTCCTAGATCTTTATGTCCCAAAGATATCCAGGGCCTTCCTCACCTCCAGGTGTGGAGCGTTAGCGCGGTGGGGAGAGAAGAGGAGGGGGAATTGTGTGGGGTAGCGGCCTTGGAATAAAGAGAACATGGCTGGGACCTAGCAGATCAGGTCGCTAAGCGTCCTGGTTTGGTGTCTCACAAGTAGCTGCGCTTGTATCCATTCTCACACACACACACCCATTCCTACCACCTCCTGGCCCCCTGTCCTTGCCCATGCAGGCTGGAGTCGGTGAGGACTGTCGTGCAAGACGGGCTGACGGACGACCCCCTCGACTCCGAGGAGCAGCTGCAGGTGGTGTGGGTGGTGGGCTGGGCGCCTGGGCGGCGGGGGCGGGGTGCTCTGGGCGATCTCTTCACGGACATTGAATGCAGCCCTCTTGCCTTCACATGCCTCCCTCACTCTCCCCCCCTTCACCCCTGTGGGTCCCTCCCCTCCACACCCCTCCAGGACCAGCTGGACTCGCTGCCGTACCTCTTCCGCTTCCAGTACGAGAAGATGGCCGAGGCGCTGACGTGCGCGGCGGACCCGCTGATCGCGGCCTACGCGTCCCGCGGCGCGGGCGGCGCCGTCGCCGGCGGCGCCGCCTCCTCCTCCTCCCCCCCGCGCGACGCGGCGGTGCTGGAGGGCCAGCTCACCTGGATCGTGTACATGGTGGGCGCGGTGGTGCGTGGCCGGGCCTCCGCCTCCGGCGCCGACGCGCAGGAGGCGGTGGACGGCGACCTCGCAGCACGCGTCTTCGGCGTCCTGCGCGCGGCGGAGGGCCCCGGGCACGCGGCGCGCGCGGGCGCGGCCTCGCGCCGTCGGCTGGAGCTGGCCCTGCTCTCCTTCCTCCAGTCCTTCCGCAAGGTGTACATTGGCGAGGCGGTGATGCACAGCAGCAAGGTGTACGTCCGCCTGGGCGAGAGCGTGGGCCTGGCAGACCACGCCGCGGTCATGAACGTCATCCTGGCCAAGATGGCCTCCAACCTCAAGGTCTACTGCGGCGCGGAGGAGGTCATCTCCGCCACCCTGGAGCTCTTCAAGGTGTGTGTGGGAGGAGTTGTATGTGGGGGATTTCTGGGGGCGAATGCATGTGCTGGGTGTGTTGTCGGATGGATGGCATGGCAGTGCCATATTGGGTGGTGGGACGGTGTCTTGGCCGCGCCCCTCCGTGTGTCCTGGGAGGAATACCTGCGAAGTGAAACTACAGGCCAAGTGCCACAACAACCAACCCCATGCTTGGGTCCTGACGCGCCGCCACCCTCCACACAGGACCTGGCATCGGGGTACATGAGCGGCAAGCTGCTCATCAAGCTGGAGGCCATCAGCTACCTGCTCACACACCACACCGCAGGTGAGGTTATCGGTGGGAGGGGTAGCATGGTTGCTTGCAGATGCCAGAGCGGCAGGCGGAGGGTGTGCGCGCGGTGGCTGGGATGCCGAATGGGCATTCAAGCCTGTGTGCATTCGATGCCACCCACAAGGTACCAGGCTCGGGGAGTCGGGCTCTCCCCGGACAGCCACTGACGCTCCCCCTTCCTCCCACCCCAATCCCCCAGAGTACTTTCCTTTCCTGGCGGGGCAGGCAAACCTGCGGGCGCGGACCACCTTTTACTCGACACTCGCGCGGCTCCTGTTCATGGATGACACGCCGGATCGCTTCAAGGCCTTTGTGGCGCCCATGCAGCAGGTGTGGAGGGCTTGAGAGGGGAGGTTACGGGAGGGTGTGATGACTTGGGTTGGGGTCCTCGAGCTCGGCGATGCATCAGGGTGGTCGACATGGACGCCCACACGGAGGAAAACCCCTCCCTCTCACCAAAGGCGCGCCTCCCCACCCTGGCCCCAACCCAACCCACCCCCGTCCCCAGGTGTTTGACTCCCTGGCGACGGCGAGCCGCAGCGCGGGCAGCCCCGCCGCGCTGCGCGCCTCGGTTTCCAACGAGACCGTGGCCGGTCTCTTCAGGGACCTGCGCGGGGTGGCCGCCGCCACGAGCACGCGCCGGACCTACGGTAGGAAGGCTGTTGGGATGAAGGTCGAATGCTGCCCGGCTGTGGCGCTGCGGGTGTTGTGGCGCACTTGAAGCCGGGGAATTCAAGGCGGTGGTGCAAGAGCTCCGGGTGGATGCTGGGGCCAGGCTGGGGCCTGTGCAGCAGGGTTCTGGCCCAGCATCCGAGTACCTCCGAGGGATGCTGGTGCGGCAGGTGCTAGCGCATGATGTATAGCTGGCACCCCACGCCAAGCCTTCTCCAATAACCCCCCCTCCATTTTTGCCTCCTTCCCAACGCGCAGGCATGCTCTTTGACTGGCTCTACCCTGCCAACTTCCCCGTCATCCTGGCCTGCCTGGAGGCCTGGTCCGGCGACCCGGTGGTCACCACCCCCCTCCTCAAGTTCGTGAACGAGTTTGTGCTCAACAAGTCGCAGCGCCTCATCTTCGACTCCTCCTCCCCCAACGGCATCCTGCTCTTCCGCGAGGTCTCCAAGGTCGGGGAAGGGGAGGCCGCGCGGATGAGGGGGGGTGGGGAGGGGCGGATGGATCTTTTAAAGGGAGCGTGTGTGTCGGGTGGTGACGCCCATAACCTTGCTCCCTCGAGCCTTGTACAACAAGTCCGATTGCCCAGCAGATGCAACTCCGCATTAATGCCTCCATAATGCCAGACCTTCATACGGAATTCCCATTCTCCCCACCAACCCAGGTCCTGGTGACATATGGCAACCAGGTGCTGTCGGCGCCGCGGCCTGCAGACGTGTACGGCGGGCTGTACAAGGGCTCCTGGATCTGCCTGTCAATCCTCAGCCGCGCGCTGGGCGGCAGCTACGTCAACTTTGGCGTGTTTGAGCTGTATGGCGACCCCGCGCTCAACGATGCGCTGGACATGGCGGTGCGCCTGGCGCTGAACATCCCGCTGGCCGACATCCTGGCCTACCGCAAGGTGTGGGGGGTTGAGGGTGGTGGTGGGGAGAAAGAGGCGTTTGGGTCGGTGTAGCAAGTCCCCCTGTAGCTGCAGGGTCTGACGGGCCAGGGGATGTGCTGAGCTGGGGCCTCTGAGGCAGGGTCCAGCTCCGGTCGAACGGTACTCTAAACCAGGGAACCCAGGGGTCTCGGCTTGCTTGGCGTTACTGAGGCCCTGCCCAGCCGTGAGACAGCATAGGATCACACGCAGCTGTTCACATGGCTGCCCGTCAGAGCCTCACAACGTTGCTCCACCCAGTCCTGCCCCACCCAGCCTCCACACACACCTTCACCTCCCCATGCCGTCCCCCCTCCCCCAACCACCAGGTGTGCAAGGCCTACTTTGCGCTGGTGGACATGCTGTGCGCGAGCCACGTGCCGCTGCTGGCAGCACGCGACACGCCCACCTTTGTCTTCCTGCTGTCCAGCCTGGACGCGGGGCTGAAGAGCCTGGACGTGGCCGTATCCAGCCAGTGCGCCGCGGCCATCGACAACCTGGCCGGCTACTACTTCCTGCACATGCCCGGCGGGCACAGCCCCAATGCCGCGGCGCGGGCCATCTCGGAGCACGTGCGGCAGCGCCCCGACCTCTTCCCCCAGCTGCTCACCACCCTGTTCGAGATCGTCATGTTCGAGGACTGCTCCAACATGTGGTCCCTGTCACGGCCCATGCTCAGCCTCATCCTCGTCAGCGAACAGGTGCTGAGAAGGGGTGGGGTGGAGTTGGGGGGTCGGGGCCAAGGGGATTTGGGAAGATAACAAATGGGGGAGAGGGTTGGTGGTATGGGGCGTCGAAGGCTCTCAGGGTTCCGTGCGCTGTGGCGGCTGGGACTCGCAGGGACGCTGCGTTTGGTCACGTCCGCCGAGGGCGTCGTAAAGGCGCCTGCTCAAGTGTCGGGCGGAGTGCCTGGTTCGATCGGCCTCAAACCTGTCACCCCTGCTTGAGCTGGACTCCTCGCTGATGGCATCAACCAGCTCCAGCATCAACCTACTCACCAATATACTCCCCACCCAACCATCAATCCTCCCCACACAGGTTTACGAGCATGTGACCAAGCGCGTGGCGGCCAGCCAGCCCCCCGAGCGGCAGAGCCACCTGGCGGCGTGCCTGGAGCGGGTGATGGCGGGCGTGACGCGGTCTCTGGAGCCCAAGAACCGCGACAAGTTCACGCAGAACTTCACCATCGCGCGGCACGACTACCGCGCCAGGACATGATTGCGGGCGGGCCGGCGACGGGGCCTCCTGCGTGTGTCGAGTCGCACACTGGCGCCGACAGCGTGCGTCTCGTTGGGCAGTGTGTCTTTTTTAGGCAGCTGCCATTCCCCAGGGATGTTGCAGGACACACCCGGCATGCCCCTGCGTGCTGCCCCGGATCAAGGGGATCGCAAGCTCCAAACTGATAGCCGACGAAGGCCTCCCCTCCACCTCTATGAAATCCCCCCTTCCTGCTATGCCTGCTCCCAGGGGCCCTCTGCAGAATTTGTAAAATTTTCAGACACGCAACCGTGGCAAGCAAGCTAGCACTTCAAGCCTGGGGCGCGGGGTCAGGCTGCTGCCTGCGGTCCGAGCCTCGTGTGCGGCGGGGTCCCGAGTGCGCTGGCAGCACGATGGCCTGCCCGTCCCAGGCCGCCGTACCCGGGGCCTGGTCGCTTGATTCCGTCCCCGTCCCTGCCGTCCCAGCGTCTGTCTCTCCTTCACCCGGTCCCCTCGGCCGCTTGCTGGGTCTTTGGAAGTCGGGCGCCTCTGCGGCCCGGGCCTCGACCACGGCCGCCTCGATCGCGACGTCCAGGTCCTCCTCAGCCGGGGGGGCTCTGCTCACCGTGCCGCCACGTGGCTCTCTGGTGGCCGGCGGCGCTGCCGCGGTCAGGCTCATGGGGATGGTTGCCAGCATGCCCAACCCCGGGATGGCGCCGTGGGCGTCAAAGGCTCCAGCTGGGGGCGCTGCGTGCGCGGAGCGCGGCGCCTGAGAGGCGGCACTTGACCCCGGCGGGGCGCCCCCCAGGCCGGGGATAGCGGCGCCGCCCTGGCGGCGGCCCAGCAGGGGGGCGGCAGCGATCGGGGCGCTCACGGGCGGCGCGCGGCCGGCCGCCGCTCCCCCTGGCGGCAGCGAGTCCATGGCCCCGTCGGCCTCCGCGGCGGCGGCCGCCTCTGCCTGGGCCGCCGCCTGGCGCTCGAAGAAAGGGTCGCCGGGTCGTCTCCTGCACGGGATGTGGGAGTGGTAGTCCAAGTGAAGATCCATGGCGGAGTCGGTCTGGCTGGACCTGGATAGGGGTTTGTGATGAGACGGCGGCCCCGAGGAGGTCTTGCTCGGATGACCTCCATGCAGCTGCAGGGTACTTCTGCTGCATGCAGGTGGCTCCCAGCATCACCTCCTCTTCTTGAAACAATAGCACACACCTCCCTCTCAATCCCCCCCGAAGGCGTGCATGCAGACCTGGCCGAAATGCCTCCATCCCATACCTGCCTCACCCCCTTCCCTCCCTCCACTCTACGCCCAGTACCACCGCCAACCAGGACACACCAGCCCCTCTACCTGCACCAGAACTTGGTGGCAAAGTCGCCGCCGCCACTGGCCAGCAGGTGCCCCACCGGGTGCCAGCCCAGGCTCCAAACCGTGCCCTCGTGCGCAGCGGGCACAGCGCCCACCGGCGCCTCGGGCCGTGAGGCCAGCCAGTAGAGGAGGGAGCCGTTGTTCCCGCCCGCCACAAACAGGTCCTCGTGGATGGGGTGCCAGGCGGCGCAGACCACGTCCTTGGAGGGCCCGCGGAAGGAGGCCAGCGCGCGGCGCATGCGCATGTCGTGCACGGCGCAGGAGGCGTCGCGGCTGGCGGACAGCACCCAGTGCCCGTTGGCGTTCCAGGCGGCCTGCATCACCGTCGCGCGGTGGCCGTGCAGAGTGGCAATGCACCGCCCCGCGCGAGGGCACCACAGCTTGAGCAGCCCGTCCTTGCTCCCTGTCGCGTGGTGGGTGTGTGCCAGGGGGGGGATCGCGGTTGGAGGGGGTGGGGTGGGTGCCAGGAGGAGGTTGGGCGGCAGGCCCAGAGCAGGCCATTGAGGGGCCCTCCTGCCGCACACAGCCCCGCCATGCTGTACCTCACGGCTGCGCACCCACTGGGAGCATGTGCATGACAAGCAGACGCGTTTGCACCCCCCCCTCCTTGATGCCTGTGTGATCAGTGCCCCGCCCGGCACCTCCAGGAAGTGCAGTGACAGAAATGCGGCGCGGTCACTTCCCGCCGTGCCCCCTCCCCCCTCCGCTTTCCCCTCTTCCCCCTTACTCACCTCACGCCCCCACCCCCCCCTCTAAACCCACCCGACACGAGCTGGGAGGAGCGCGGGTTCCAGTCCACGCAGCGCACGTCGCCGCCGTGCCCCGCCAGCACCTGCTCGGCGGCCACCCGCGCAAAGTCCCAGACCCGCACCGTGCCGTCGTCGGAGGCGGTGGCGAACTTGAGGTCGGAGGGCGCGAAGGCCAGGCCCCGCAGCGACTCGCCGTGCGCCTGCACCGACTTGACCAGCTCCAGGTTGGTCTTCCAGAAGCGGACCACGCCGCCGTCGTCGCCCGAGACCAGGAAGGTGCCGCTGCGGGTGTAGGTCATGGCGCGTACCGGCCCCTCATGAGCCTGCAGGATGGATTCGAACTGGAAGGAGGCGCCGTCCCACATCGTGAATTCCCCGGCCTGGGTGCCGGACAGGCAGCGCCGGCCATCGGGCGTCCAGCACACCACGTTCACGCTGCTCCGCGTCTGGATGGTGCGTTGCATCGCATGCATGGGGGGGCGGGGCGGGGGTTGGTGGGCAAGGGAACGGACACAGCATGTGGGAAAGGATGTCCTTCTTTGGGCAGGGTGTGGCGTGTAACAGACACCCGTAGGTGGTGAAAGGAGGTGCATTGGGCCACATGAACAGCAGCCGTACTCAGGCAGCCAGCGGGGATGCAAGCACAGGGGCCAGCGCCCCTCTCCAGCACGCCAGATCACCCACAGGGACACAAAGCCCGCCTACCTCCCAGCCTCGCCACCCACAGCAGCTACACAGGCTCACCTTGCTAGGCGCCTGTCCCGCAAACTTGGTGGCGGCGCCGCTCACGGGCTGGTGCAGCATGGCTGCGGGGGGGAGCATGCCCAGCGCGCCCACGGGGCCTGGCAGGAGGTCGGGCCAGCTGCGCGCGTCTTGGCCACGCAGGGCACGTGTCTGTGGGGCAAACGCGTTGGGGAGGAGTGAGGGAGAGCACGGCGCTCCCTGTCAGGCGTGTGCCACAATGTGCAGCACCCTCCCCCCCCCGCCACGCACCATTCCCAGCACTCAACTCAGCCCGCACCTGGAGCCACTGGACGTAGGGCCCGGTCGCGTCCACCGTGCGCCGGGGGACGGCAGCCTGCTGCACCTTCTTCCCATCCACAACCTCCGGGGTGGAGATGGCCTCCGGGCGCAGGGCCAGCTGCCGGGTGTAGTAGCTCGTGTACAGGGACATCGCCGCCGCTGATCAGACGACAGGAGACGGCACGCGTATTATTTGAATCTTATGATGCATTCATTGTCATCGGTCGTGTGCCGCCATCGGCATGGGCCGGAATGTCGGGTGCCCTGGGGACTCCATCTCCAGAATGCCACAGCACGGTTCGCTACATGAGTCTCGGTGCCTACAGGTTTATACAACAACTCTAATATGGACAAACAGTCGTCATCAGAAGCGATGCTGCGCGGTTCGGATCGGTGGCAAGCACAAACAGGGGAATATGTCTGCTGGAGTGCTTCGGAGTCCAGGGTGTCGACATGTAGCTTTCAATCCCGACGGTGCGCCAAGACGGGCCCAGGCTGGCCAGCTCATCGCCAGTTCCAACCCCATTTTCTCATCATCATTATACTAATATCAGTATGCGAGGGCTGATGTCCAACTACAGCAGGAGGATCACATACATGGTTGACCAGCTTGACTTGGACCAAGATCTATGTTACCTGTGCATGATTAATGTGCTCACGCAAGAGGAGGAAGCTCAAACCGGGATGCAGAAGGATTGATCCCAGGTAACAGCATCCAGCATGAGCACCCGGCTGCAACATCTCCCCCATGACGATCTGCGACTCGTCATCAGCTCTCTACCCCCTCCCGCCAGAAATTGTCCGCGTCGGCAGCGCCACCAATGCCAGCAAGGTTACTGTTCCGCATGGTGATCCCCCACGACATGCTCACGACACTGCAAGGACACGCCGTTGTTCATTCTCCACTCTACTAGTCCACTCCAGTGAGACACTCGTCACTGTAGCCCCCACGCCCCCTCTGCAGCCGACCCCCTGTGCCGACGTGACTGTGGTTAGTCTAAAGACACGCTCCTCCCCCCCCGCTGCCCCGGACCCCTTTATGCTCACTTGTATCTGATGAACACCAAGGTCCGCTTGGGGTGGGCCTCTGCTCGTGCACAATGCCGGCATATGTTTTGCGAGCACGGGCCGGCCTAACCTACCCCACCCGCGTCATCCCACCCCACAGGGCAAGGCGACTCGACGCACCATTTCGTGGGTAAGTGGATCAGGCTATTACCCCCCTTGCGTTTTGTTTAAAGTGCTCTACGCCCGCCTCGCACGGGGCGTGTGCCGGATTTCGGCGGCTGCCCCCAGCGCAGGTAGCTGCAGCGCAACCCCAGATCCGGCGACCCCCTCATCTCGACCCTGCCCTCCCCTCCCCCAGGTGTGGAATAAGAAGTACGGCGCCCAGCTCACGCTGCCTTGAACAGTAGTATCCTTTTGGGCTCGCAGTGCGGCCGTTTAGACCCCCTCCTCTTGCACTCATACACCTGTCCGGTGTTGCCTATCCCTGCTCCTCCCCGGGCGTCATGATGATGCTCTGTGCGAGCCTGGGCGCCTCCCACGCCACACGCGCTCCCCAGCGCTCCCGGCGCACCAGGGGGAGCGGCCCGTCCTCCCTGGTCATGGGGCGCGGCGCGATCGCGCGCTCGGCAGACCACCCCACCCGCGGCCCCGACGCCCGCCCCGCCGTGGTGGCCCCCCCGCCCCTGCGCCGCCTGCGCGTGCCCTGCCGCGCCGGCCTGTCCGTGGGCGGCCCCACCGACGGCCTGCCCGTCTCCCCCGCCGGCTCGCCGCCCTCCTCGCCGCGGTGCAGCGTGGAGACCACCGACTTCCTGGTGCTGGGCTCCGGCATCGCGGGGCTGAGCTACGCGCTGGCGGTGGCCGAGCATGGGTCGGTGGCGGTGGTGACCAAGGCGGCGGCCGACGACGGCTGCACGCGCTACGCGCAGGGCGGCATCTGCGCGGTGCTGGACCCGCGCGACTCCGTTGCCGCCCACGTGCACGACACCATGGTGGCGGGGGCCTGGCTGAACTGCCCGGAGGCCGTGGCCGCAGTCTGCTCCGAGGGCCCGGCCCTGGTGCTGGGCCTGGCGCGCCTGGGCGCAGAGTTCACCCGCGCCGCCGTGCCGGCAGGGCGTGGAAGGGACGGCGGTCCGGGCGGTGCCCGCGCCGCGTCGGCGTCCCCCATCCCGCCCCTGCACCTGACGCGGGAGGGCGGGCACAGCGCGCGGCGCGTGGTGCACGCGGCCGACGCGACGGGCGCGGAGATCGAGCGCGCGCTGCTGGCGCGCGCGCGCGCGCACCCGGCCATCACCTTCCACGAGCACCGCGTGGGCGCGGACCTGGTGCTGGGCGAGCTGCCCGGCGGCGGCCGCGCCTGCCTGGGCGCCGACACGCTGGACGCGCTGACCGGGCGGCGCACGCGCTTCCTGGCCCTGTCCACCATGCTGGCCACGGGCGGCGCGGGCCAGCTGTACCCGGTGACCACCAACCCGGGCGTGGCCACAGGTGACGGCATGGCCATGGCCGCGCGTGCGGGCGCGCCGCTGGAGGGCCTGGAGTTCGTCCAGTTCCACCCCACTGCGCTCGTGGCGGGGGAGCCCGCCGCCGCCGACGGCCGCGCCTTCCTCATCTCGGAGGCCGTGCGCGGCGAGGGCGGGCGCCTGCTGAACGCCGCGGGCGAGCGCTTCATGGCGCGGTACGACGCGGCGCGCATGGAGCTGGCGCCGCGCGACGTCGTGGCCCGCGCCATCCATGCCGAGATGGCCGCGGCGGGGGCCGACCACGTGCTACTGGACGTGCGGCACCTGGGCCGGCCGGCCATCGAGGCCCACTTTCCGACCATCGCCGCGCGCTGCGCGGCGATGGGCCTGGACATGGCCGCCGCGCCGCTGCCCGTGGCCCCCGCCCAGCACTACATGTGCGGCGGCGTGCGCGCCGGGCTGGGCGGCGAGACGGCGCTGCCGGGGCTCTGGGCCGCGGGCGAGGTGGCCTCCTCCGGCCTGCACGGCGCCAACCGGCTGGCCAGCAACAGCCTGCTGGAGGGGCTGGTGTTTGCCGCGCGCGCGGTGGCGCCCAGCGCAGCGCACGCCGCGCGCGCGGCGGCCGGCGCCGCGCCCGCGCTGGCCGAGCTGCGCGAG